GGTGGAGTGTAGAGCCTCTCTCACTGTGGATTACCTTACATTTTATATTTACCTGTTATTCAACAGACAACATTGACTGGACACATCATGGTGGCACATAGAGCCTCTCTCACTGTGGATTACATTACATTTTATATTTACCTGTTATTCAACTGACAACAGTGACTGGACACATCATGGTGGACATGTAGAGACTCTCTTAATACCAGAAATTTTCACAATCACTAGGTGATTTTTGAATTCAAATAACTAATTTTAGACTGTTAAAATTTTAGGAAGAGTATTTCCTATTGTTAATACTTCACTACTCATATGTCAATGCTTACCATACAGGAAAGATTAATATATTACTTATTTCTCTTACATGGATATCAATTTACACTACACAAATATTACCTGAAAAATTTATCTATCCTTATCTTTTAGTCATTTTAACATAAACAAAAAACTATGTTCTGATTTACTGATAAACAATATATTACCACACAGTTTCTAACTTTAAAACCAAATAAATGGAAAGATAGTTCACATACTACTTATGGCATATTATAAGGAATATGAAACACTGCTCAACTTTTACTGTTAAATGGTGAAGTTTTGGCAGCTTTAGGAATATTTTATCATTTTGGTCAATTTTTTATGTATTAAGTTACAAAACAGAGTAAACAACTTATCTCTCAGTCCTAGAGAAAACTGAAGTTAGCAAACAGCAAACTATAAAACATTGTGTTTTGGGGCAGAGTGATCAAACTTTAAAATATTTTCAAATAATCAATAACAAAGAAAAAATAATTTGTTGCAAATATGAAATCTGTTGAACTTTGGCCCCAAAAGAATAATCTGAAATTACATAAAAGCAAATTTAAGATTTTTCACTATGATTTTTAATATAGTCTGTTAAACTGTGTTTATGGAGAATTAGCCTACTAACTAAGCTGTTGCTTTAATTTTAAGCCTATAACATTTGCTTGAAAATTAAGGCTTTTATTGTTATCTTTCCTACCAATATAATTTTCATCACATGCTAATGACAATCAGAACAATCTGAAGTATTACATTAACAAACATTGATTTGAAAGTACAATAATAACTATTGTAGACAACATAGCATAACATCTGAAGAAGACAAACCAGGGTACTGTTGAAACATGTAGTATATTTCAACACTACCTCAAGAAGAACAAACCATGGTACTGTCAAAACATGTAGTATATTTCAACACTACCTCAAGAAGACAAACCAGGGTACTGTCAAAACATGTAGTATATTTCAACAGTACCTGAAAAACACAAACCATGTAACTGTTGAAACAAGTACTATATTTCAACAGTACCTAAAGAAGACAAACCATGGCACTTTTAATACATGTAGTATATTTCAACTGCACTTGAAAATAACTCATGGTATAATCGAAACATGTAGCACGTTTCCTGAATTAAATATCACTGTGCTTACAAATCATTGTTTGTTAATTTACTATTGTATTAACATGTACAAGTATAGGAATGACATGTACATAGTTTGTTCCAGATCTTGTGTTAGAAGAAGATTTATTGTGCAATGTACAAGCAATACTGTTTTATATTACTACATTTAATTTAATGTTTATATTATGCCAGTAGTGATTGTGTAGATATTTCCTTTGCAACATCTCAACCAACAATTGGTCCAGTTATCAACAC